TTATAAGTGAATTGATAGTTGGGATTCCAGAGAAGCCCAGGGGGGCAGCCCTGAGGAAGCAGATGGCCTTGTACAGCCAGGGAGAAAAGAGAGGCCTGTGGTCCTGGGCTACAAGACATTATTCTTTGAAACTGCCTTGTGCTCTTGGCAAAGGGTCTCCATTTAGGCGAAACCTACCTGCAAGGCTAGCTGCAGAATTGAGCATGTCCTGGCCTGGCCAAACCCTTCAGAGGTCAGCCGCAAGCAGGGGACACTGCCAGGGCCAGAAATGCCCCCAATTATGGCCCGTGTGCAACACGAACCTGACTGAAAGGGCACCTGGACTTCCCAGATCAACAAAGGACTTGGCTTCAGGCCTGGAAGGACCCAGGGAGAGGCTCCTGACCACCCCTGGGTGCACCCAGTGTTGGTGATGAACTAGCTGGGTAAGGGGCTCCATGCACCAACATCCTCACAGGCCCCAGTCCTCACTTGCCACTGGATCTGAGACTCAGAGGTTGATGTGGTTGGGCACAAGGCACTTAGACAAATCTGGAGTCCCTGAGTTTTCAGGGACAGAGACTGAGTCCCAAATGTGACACATGTGTGAAATACACAATCTCATGCCCTGTTCCTGAACACTGGGGAAGAGCCTGTAACAAGCCTCCCTTCAGTCCTGCCCGGGGTCTGTGGCTAGGTAGGGGTCAAGCTCATGTTGATCCAACACTTTATCCCTGACCACTTTCTTGCCCCGCACACCCCTGTGGGCTATAGCACGATGACTATGTCACTGGCCCCGATTCTTCCCCATGACACGCTCACCCCTTTGCTATGTGACTTTATAGCTCCTCTCACTGCAGAGCCAGGTCAGTGTTTTCCCGAGTCTGGGGTGTCAGCAGATGGGACACCTGCAGGGACTTCAAACTGCAGTTGCTTGTTTCTGGTTTTGCTCCTCTGCAATTACCTTAAAACCATGCCTAAGACAACCTTCAGGAAAACAAGAGAGCTGGCACCCTGTCACTGAGCCAATCCCCTGGATTTGTAAATGGAGTTGGCTCAGAGATCTGAGACCAGAGGAGCTGCCCAGCCAAGCCCAGCCAAAATTACTGGCCTATAGGCTTATGAGTTAAAGAAATGTTTAGTATTGTTTTCTGGTATTTTCCTATGCAACACTATCATGGCACTAGAAAACAAAACAGAGGTGAAGCAAAAAGACTGAATGAACCATTACCCCATATGCCACCTTACCTCCAGATATGTGGGACTCTGATGTAAATGACCAAAGAGCTTTTATTGTGTTGGTACTGAAAGGTCAGTGTTTGCTTATTACTACAGCACTGAGGATTGTGTCCTGACTAGCACACAGGGAAAGAAATCACAGGGCCCGTGTCTGATCAGAAGGGAGGTAGTAGATGAAATAAATTTGACGAAGATTGATTAGCCTTGCACTCCCACAGAGGAAGGACTCATGGATCTTCTGGAAGCCCATGCTCTGGTAAAGGGCCATGGCCGACAGCTGCATGGTGCTAGTATCCAGGACAACTGCACTGTAGCCCTGGTCACGGGCAAACTGGAGGACAGTCCTGACCAGGGCTTTTGCTATGCCCTGATTACGGTGCTCAGAGGCCACGACCAGGTGAAACAGCTGCAACCGCTTCTCTTGCAAGGTGGGATCGTCCACGGGCAAAGCTCCCACTGTGCCCACCACCTTCTTTGCAGACTCAGCCACCCAGAAGCAGGAGCCAGGCTTGCTCAGGTAGGATTTGGTGATGTCAGCCATGTCTGTTTGCAAACTCATGTGTACAAACTGCCTGTACGGAAGGCCGGCAAGGAACCATAGGACAGGGAGGAGGGCGAGGCTGAATGTGACAGCCAGGAGCCAGGAGCCAGAGACCAGGAGTAGGAGGAAGGGGCCCCCAACTAAGAGCACGAGAGTTCGGGGCAGCTTCAGCAGGTGGCGGAAAGTGGCAGGGATGTGCTCAGT